GCATTGAGCCATCATACGTTACTCGTAAGTTCTTTCATATCTGTATATATATATATATATATATATATATATATACACTTATATATATATATTATATATATATAATATTTCATTTATTTATAAAATACATTTTTAATTCATATTCAACCTGAATGATATTTTCTATATGTTTATGCTATCCTCCGATCTATCCCTAACAAATTAGGAGGTGTAATTGCATTATTATCATCAATTATTATCTTATATTTTTTACCTCTAATTTCTATAAAATTTAATTCATTATCATTTTATCCTTTAAATCAATATTTATTTTGAATTTTCATTAATATTTTTATTCTATTAACATGAGCAGGAGCTCAACCTTTTATCATTATTAGACAAATTTTATCATTATGTTACTTTCTTTATTTTATCTTATTACCTTTCCTAATAAAAATTTGAGATTTAATTATTTTTAAATAAATATTTTAAAATTTATTATTATAAATAAATTTAAAATATTAAAAATAATTATATTTAATATTTAAATTTTTTATAAATTACTATTAAATTCCCATACAGCACCGATAGATTGCAAAAACATTACAACAATCTTTCACCGCAATATTGCAATATTGCAAATTCACTGCAAAATGTTGCTACATCATTGCTGTTGAATTGCAGCAATGTTAAAATGTCCGTTTTTGGAAGATTGTAACAAAATATTACAACAATATTGCAATATGTTATGAGTTTGCAATAATGCATTGTTATTGCAACCATAAACTAATGTTGCATATACAGGTATATAAATGTAAATAAATCATTAATGAAAATACGTTGTAGTTAATTTATATATATTACAATATATAAATTATAGAATTTGGATTACATGCAATATTTCCGAAATATTAATGTCATGTTGCTACAAGTGTGCTGGAATTTTGTGCACTTATATCTCTGCAATGTCTTTATAATGTTGCATTGCAACTTGCAACGTTGCAACGTTGCTGCAATATAATTGCAATAATCTGTGCTGTATGGGTTAAGTTAATAATCTTGAATTTAAGTTTATGTTTTGAAAACATATTAAAGAAATTTTAATTTTCTATTAACTTTTAAACATTTAATTTTTTTTACTAAATTATTATTAATAATATAAATTTAAATCCAAAAATTAATAAAATATAAACCAAAATTATTGGTAAAATAATTTTCCAACATAAATATATTAATTTATCATATTGTATTCGAGGAAGTATTCCATGTATAAAAATTACTATTCTACATAAAATATTAATTAAAATAAAAGTTAAAATTATTGAATATTTTAATAAATTCCTAAATATATAAATTCTAATTAATCTAAAAAAATAATTATTCCATATTCAGATAAAAACATATTAAAGAAATTTTAATTTTCTATTAACTTTTAAACATTTAATTTTTTTTACTAAATTATTATTAATAATATAAATTTAAATCCAAAAATTAATAAAATATAAACCAAAATTATTGGTAAAATAATTTTCCAACATAAATATATTAATTTATCATATTGTATTCGAGGAAGTATTCCATGTATAAAAATTACTATTCTACATAAAATATTAATTAAAATAAAAGTTAAAATTATTGAATATTTTAATAAATTCCTAAATATATAAATTCTAATTAATGTAAACCCACCCCTAAAATATTCAATATTAAATCATCTGACTCACTTTCGATAAAATCTATAGGACTTCGATTTAATTCAGCTAAAATCCTAATAAACACTATAATAAACAAAGGATATAAAACTACTATATATCATAAATAAAATTGATAATTAATAAAATCAAAAAAAGAATATCTCTCTCTTATTAATATAATAACTAAAATAATTAAAATAAATCTTACTTCATATGATAATATTTGTGAAACTGATCGTATTGCTCCTATTATTGAATAAATCGAATTAGCTGATCATCCCATAAAAATTATAACATACCCTCTAATAGTTATAAAAACAATTATTAATAAAATAGAATAATTTAAAAAATAAATATTAGTAATGTAAGGAAATACTAATCATATTATTATTAAAACAAATCTAATTATAGGACATAAATAAAAAAAATTATAATTAGATTTATATACATAAAATAATTCTTTATTAAATAATTTAATAGCATCACTAAAAGATTGAAATAATCCTATAAATCCCACCTTATTAGGTTCTTTACGAATTTGTACATATCTTAAAATTTTTCGTTCCAATAAAGTTAAAAAAGCTACCCCAACTAATATAATTAATAACAAAATTAACAATCTTAATATATTTAACGCACTATAAAAATATAATCTTAAATTTTGACAAATTATTACTTGTATAACTTTTTTCTATTATACATCATTAAAATTCTAAATTTAATACACTTAAATTTTGCCAAAGTAATTTTATTTATTTACATATATTTGATCAATTAAATTTATTCATTAAAAAAAATATAATTTAAAAAAAAGTCCTTTTGTACAAAATTTTCTTAATTTTATTATAGATAGAAACCGATCTGGCTTACACCGATCTGAACTCAAATCATGTAAAATTTTATTAGTCGAACAGACTAAAATATTAAACTTCTTTATTTAATTTTTATTTTAATTTAACATCGAGGTCGCAATCATTTTTATTAATATGATCTTTCTAAAAATATTACGCTATTATCCCTAAGGTAATTAATTTTTATAATTATTATAAAAAAAAAAATTTTCTTAATTTAATAATCAATTCTTTATAAAAATTTCATTAATTAATGTTAAAATTATCTTTAAATTAAAGTTCATTTTATTTAATTATCCTCCCAATAAAATATAATCATTAAAATAAAATTTATTTCCTTAAATAAAAAAATTATATTAATTTAATAGGGTCTTCTCGTCCCATAATTTCTTTTAAGAATTTTAACTTAAAATTTAAATTTTAAATCTACAAATTAAAACAGCTTTAATCAATTCCTTCATTCCAGTTTTCATTTAAAAAACAATTGATTATGCTACCTTTGCACCGTCAATATACTGCGGCTATTTAAAAATCACTGAGCAGAAATAATTTTAAATTATTATCAAAAAACCATGTTTTTGTTAAACAAGTAAATTAATGAAAATTAATGTGTATATGCATTACAATATATTCAATACAATATTCTCTTAATTTGAACGAAAATTATAAATAACTTATGCGTAACATATATTTTTGGACTCCTAAATAAAAAATATATTATATTATTTGCAAAAAATAAGATGAAATATTTTTTATTCGAATAGTCTCAACTGCTCTTTTAGCTGAATGTTTAGAAGCAATGAAAAAAATCGAGGATCTACGAAAAATTTAAGTACATTTCTAAGATTTTTTTATATGATATAAAAAAAATATATGGTATATAAATTGATTTTTTAATTTTTTTATTAATTTTTAATTACACACACACACACACAAATAGATTCTTATTATTTAAAATAGTTTTTATTTTTGTTCTTTATTTACATATGCATACATATACAAAAAAATAAAAATAATATGATAGCCTTTTTGCTGACATTATCTCTCAATATTTGCATCCGTGTGCTCACGTATTAGTTTTTGTACCTACATGGACGCTACTACATATGCGATGTAAGAGAGACAAAGATGGAATGATGCTCTCTCCTTGTCAAGCAGTCAGCATGTTACCACAGAAATTTCCCCTGCTCCTTATGAATCTAGTGAGAATCTTATCGTCCAGATATTTCATAAAATAAGTGACATAACTTCGTGAATTTTTTTTAATATATTCTTTATATAATAAAGCAGTCCTCTAAAAGGCCGGATTTTACATTTTCGCTCTTAAAAATTTATAATAAATAAAATACGGACTCGCGGCTAACCCAACCTTACCCGTTCCTAGCTGTGCATTCCCCCAAGTTTATTAAAAATTTTTATTTTTATCTTTTTTTCATAAAATAGCTCTTTAGAGGACTACAAATGAGCTTACTGATTAAGAATATCCTAAATTTAATAAGATTCATTCAATATTTTCGCTAATATCTGGAAAATAAGAATCCGTAATTCCCGGCCGGCCGATAGGCGTCTCCACCATGTCGCCTGTCGACCCTTAAATTCTGATAACAGTAACATATGGATCTTTATATGATTTAATCTTTTACTTACAATTCCCATATATATTTAGTGTACATAAAATAACCCAGATAGCACAAGACGTCCTATTTACGTATGTACGTCCATAAAATGAACGTCCACTGTATATCCGATTTCGGACATCCATCAGTGACTAATATTTGGACGTCCATAGGATATCCACAAAATTCCCTTACAGTACGAAATATTGCTAAAATATTGCATAAATATTTTATTTTATTGTGTCATTATAAATATTGAAACAACATTGTGCAAATATTATAAATTTAATATTTCATTGGAGACATTGCAAAATATACTATGCAATATTATCTTATAATAGTTCCTTCATTTGCCGCTATGCGACGCAAGATGCGCTGTCTATTTCGCTATTAAAAGTTAAGAGAATTATAAAGTGCATACAAAAAGCGGCTATTATACAGTTAAATATATGTTATAATTATTTTGATCAGTTTAACTTTTTTGGTACTATCCCAACACAAGGAATTTAGATATTGAATTGATTGAAGAAATCAGACAAATAAATATTCGGATAAATAAAATTCGAAAATAAGAAATATTCTGCAATATTTTATGAATAGTATAAAAATGAATTAATTTTACATTTCAAATTTATTATTGCTTATAAATTTCTTCTTTATAAATTTTAAATGTCATTTTCAACGATATACATGTATAATAAAGAACCAAAATATGTCCATTAAAAATTTAAAATTTATTCATAAAAAATCCAATATTTGTCCATTAGATCCATAATTAGTCTATATAAGATCCAAAATTCGTCCGTTAGATACATAATTTATCCATTTAAAATTCATAATTCATCCAAAATTGGTCAAGAATGGACGTCTTATGGACGTCCACTGGCGTTGCAAACGGACGTACACTGGACGTCCTTTGTATGTTTGCTGCAGTTAATATGGACGTCCGATGGACGTACCTACGTCCGGCATGAACGTCCATCGTATGTACCAGAGAGAAGGATGAGAGTGGTCATCCCCTCGATTTAGCTGCAACCGGAATTCAAAGCGCCTCTATGTGCACAAAACGTGCACATTGAACTACGTAGCCATGTGCACGATGCTCCCGAGTGGTAACAGGCTATGTGCACGGTACGTGGTTCGATTCCGTGCTATGTGCACAGATGAGCGCCAGTAACACGTAGCTGTTAAAGGAGATGAGTTCGAGACCTCGCAGGGCCAATTTTTTTTTTTTTTTTTTTAGTACGACTATATTTGTCAATTTAATGAAATCCTTTTAATTATTGTGGAATAAAGAGATAAAATGCATTTCTCAAGCGTACGCGAGAAAATCGAAATCAAAAATAATGAGTGCCGTATAAATACGTATGGAATAGAGCGTTATATCGAAGAGCGTGTGGCGTAGCGTTAAGGGGCTAGACACGTACCGTCGAGGTTAGAGGTTCGATTCTCAAGGAGTGACTTTTTTTTTAAATATTTTTTTATTTTAAATAAAATTTTTTTTTACCATAAAATGTAATTTTTACACAAAATAAATGTAAATAACACGATTTATTTACTTATAACACGTATATTACAAAAATGCATTTTTCTTTGCCTCAAAAAGCCGTGAAAAGCCGTCTGTAGAATAGCTGTATGCGATAGGAACTTGTATGATTATCTGTTTAATTAAAAATTATCCGATTTATGTCGTGTTTGGTGTCGTTGAAATCGCAAAAATCTCAATAATCCATTAATATTATTTTCGAATAGATAAAATGCAAAATAAAGGTTTTAGTTTTTCACTTATAAGATGTTTATATTTGTGAATTGCCATGGATGGGGAAGCCTATTGTTCGAGAGTTCGGAACGTTCTTTGATCTCGATACTCGGGCGCTCGGGCCCGCTTATCTTTTCGAGCTCATCTCACAACTCGTCGTGTGCGAGAGAGAAAGCGAGACTGCGAGTATAGAGCGAGCGAGAGGACCTATCATCAAAGAAAGTTCCGAACTCTCGAACAATAGGCTTCCCCATCCATGGCAATTCACAAATATAAACATCTTATAAGTGAAAAACTAAAACCTTTATTTTGCATTTTATCTATTCAAAAATAATATTAATGGATTATTGAGATTTTTGCGATTTCAACGACACCAAACACGACATAAATCGGATAATTTTTAATTAAACAGATAATCATACAAGTTCCTATCGCATACAGCTATTCTACAGACGGCTTTTCACGGCTTTTTGAGGCAAAGAAAAATGCATTTTTGTAATATACGTGTTATAAGTAAATAAATCGTGTTATTTACATTTATTTTGTGTAAAAATTACATTTTATGGTAAAAAAAAATTTTATTTAAAATAAAAAAATATTAAAAAAAAAGTCACTCCTTGAGAATCGAACCTCTAATCTCGACGGTACGTGTCTAGCCCCTTAACGCTACGCCACACGCTCTTCGATATAACGCTCTATTCCATACGTATTTATACGGCACTCATTATTTTTGATTTCGATTTTCTCGCGTACGCTTGAGAAATGCATTTTATCTCTTTATTCCACAATAATTAAAAGGATTTCATTAAATTGACAAATATAGTCGTACTAAAAAAAAAAAAAAAAAAATTGGCCCTGCAGGTCTCGAACTCATCTCCTTTAACAGCTACGTGTTACTGGCGCTCATCTGTGCACATAGCACGGAATCGAACCACGTACCGTGCACATAGCCTGTTACCACTCGGGAGCATCGTGCACATGGCTACGTAGTTCAATGTGCACGTTTTGTGCACATAGAGGCGCTTTGAATTCCGGTTGCAGCTAAATCGAGGGGATGACCACTCTCATCCTTCTCTCTGTATGTACATAGGACGTATTTGTGCTAGTTAGGAATATAACACATAATTAAGGGTCGACAGGTCGGTCGGCCAAACTCCGAATTGATGTTGGAGACCTCGCGCGGTGACAACGCGAAACTCCGATTTCAGTGTTGCCAACGCCGAGAAACCAATTCTTGGGTTTTATGTAGTGGTGCATGTCTGTACACGTACATACACCATTGCATTGCTCACGCGGACGCACCGTAGAGAGACAAGGACCGATAATCACGTGTTCTCCTTGTTCCTCTACCGTGCCGGTATACGCGAGATGCCGCCTGAAAATGCTTTCTGGCCTTCCGTAGCAGAAGGCACTAGCGTAACAAGGCTAATAAGCACCCACTTTTTGGAAATTGTATATATGGTTATGCACATATGTGCATAACGTATATATATAACATATATATATATATATATATATATATATTATATAAGGGATATGTTGATTATATTCTTGATTTCTTTTTGATTATTGATGCTATTGTATAATTTGCTCCAAATACTTATAACGTGAAAGAACGTTGAGTAATGTATAATCAATGCAAGGATGTTCAGTATATCATCCAGTATATAAATTAGAGTTCAAATATATCAATATCAATTTTATAATATATATATATATATATATATATATATATATATATTAGAATATAGAAAAATGATAAAAAAATATATTTCGGCGATTTAAAAATTTTTTAATATATTGAAAATATTTTTACTACATACACTATGTATAAGTGTAAAATAATTCAAAAAATAAATTTAATAAAAATCTACATACCAGCTGTGTGCATGTGTGCAATTGATTTATTACTTGAAATTTATTTACGGAATTATTTTGCATTTATATATTTATAGTATGTGTAGTTGTAAAATGATTAAAATATTTTCAATATCAAATTTTTAAGTTTATCGCCTATATAAAAAATATATTTCTATGATTTTCTATATTCCAATATATTATAAAAAAATTGATATTGATATATTTGAACTCAAGTTTTTTACGTGATTAAATATTCTTGCATTGAGCCATCATACGTTACTCGTAAGTTCTTTCACGTCATAAGTACTTATGTAGCAGAGAGAAAGAAATGAGAGTTATACAATGTAACATCAATAATCTTATATATTATAATCTTATATATTATATATATATAATATTTCATTTATTTATAAAAAACATTTTATAAATAAGTAAAATATTATACAGACAATGTACAAGATGTTCAGTTTGTGCCATAACAAGCTTCAATCAATAATTATTACTCCAATGAGTATAATTCACAATAATTTTTATATAATATAATAAGTATTTGAATATATAAAAATATTTTTAAAAATTTGTTTTAAAAATTAATTGAAAAAGAATATTTAAAATATTTTTTTATATTTAAAATATTCTTTTCCTCAATTAATCTTAAAAAAAATATTTTTAAATATTTAAAAATACTATATATTATATAAAAATAATTGTTGATTATTATATTGGATTATTAATTGAATGAAGCTAGAGCTTTTAATATGGCTTTTAATACTGCTTGACAAGGAGAGAGCATCATTCCATCTTTGTCTCTCTTACATCGCATATGTAGTAGCGTCCATGTAGGTACAAACACTAAAAAATATTAAATTTAATTTTTTTATTGTTTTGAATAATTTTATCATTAATATACTTATTTTCAGAACTATTTCAATTTTTATTTCATACTTATGTTTATATAAATTATAAATTAAAAACATATCAAAAATGTAATACGTACATATTAATAAAATGCAAATACATATAGAAAATTAATTATAAAATGTCATCTTAAAATAGTTTTTATTTTTGTTCTTTATTTACATATGCATACATATACAAAAAAATAAAAATAATATGATAGCCTTTTTGCTGACATTATCTCTCAATATTTGCATCCGTGTGCTCACGTATTAGTGTTTGTACCTACATGGACGCTACTACATATGCGATGTAAGAGAGACAAAGATGAATGATGCTCTCTCCTTGTCAAGCAGTCAGCATGTTACCACAGAAATTTCCCCTGCTCCTTATGAATCTAGTGAGAATCTTATCGTCCAGATATTTCATAAAATAAGTGACATAACTTCGTGAATTTTTTTTTAATATATTCTTTATATAATAAAGCAGTCCTCTAAAAGGCCGGATTTTACATTTTCGCTCTTAAAAATTTATAATAAATAAAATACGGACTCGCGGCTAACCCAACCTTACCCGTTCCTAGCTGTGCATTCCCCCAAGTTTATTAAAAATTTTTATTTTTATCTTTTTTTCATAAAATAGCTCTTTAGAGGACTACAAATGAGCTTACTGATTAAGAATATCCTAAATTTAATAAGATTCATTCAATATTTTCGCTAATATCTGGAAAATAAGAATCCGTAATTCCCGGCCGGCCGATAGGCGTCTCCACCATGTCGCCTGTCGACCCTTAAGATCGACCAATTACAGTCAAGTATTTAAAAAAATTCTTAAATGTAATATTTGGTCGATTTGCTTGCGACTTTGCGATTACCATTTAGTAATAAGTTACTAACTATTGTTACTATTGTATATAAAGATCATTCCCCAAGGAGAACAGGGGGTCGATCATGAATCTTTTTCCCTAGCATAAACTAGTGAAAAGTGAAAAAAATGAAAACTGTTACGTGTATTTGTGAAAAGTAAAAAATTTTACTTTTCACGAATACACGTAACAGTTTTCATTTTTTTCACTTTTCACTAGTTTTATTTGAAATGTGAAAAAAGTTTTATGTGAAATGTCGAACCATTTAAAATGGCTGCTGCGTGGTGGATTTTAAATAAGAAAATAATGGTGATGGAAATGAAAGAAATAATTTTCGTATAATACGAAAATTTTTACGAGACACTCAAAATCCGTTTGATATTCCGGAGAAAAGATTTCAAGAAGTATACAGGTAATATTATAGATATATTATTATATATTATATTTATTTCTTATACTAGATTTCTTATACTATAATGTTTTTTTTTAATAGTAAAAATAAGTTTTTAAGTTTTATATGTATATATTAATTTATAAAAATTTTTTTATATTTATATTTATATAAATATAAAGATTTAAAGCTTTATTGGGTATTAAATATAAATAATCAATGGCAAAATCCGCGCGTGGATTTTGCGTATGCTATATAATAATAAGAAATTAAATTTCATTTTATGCACAATAAAGCACGATATATATTTTTTGGTGAACAATTAAATAAATCATATTTATATACTTTATAAATTAATCTTTAAATTAATTTATGTAGATTATCTCGAGAGGCAGTTATGTGCCAGTTTACATCCATATATGCCCGAGGGAAAGAAACCAACAGCAATTCCTTCCGAATTAAAAGTATAGTTTTATTCAAGAAAAGTAATAAGCCAGACACAAAACTTTTTATTTATTTTTCATTTTGCACCCTTTGACACATTTTTAAAATATTTGTATAATCGACAAATATCGTCTTTTTATAATATATATAAATTTTATAACAAATAAAAACTGAAATAGACTAAAAGACTTTGAAGAAAAAGAACTTTATATGCTTTATCATGTTTCTTTATATTAATTTCAATCTAATTATATATGTGACAAAATATTATAATAGCCATTTAAAAATTGTGTCTTTTTTTATTGTAGGAAGAAGATAATTTTTGTTGTTTAATTTTTTGCGTAGTACACTATAAGAAAAATTTTTTTACAAATATAATTAATCTAACAAATTAATCTCAAATTAAAAATCGATTTATATAATTCTTGGTTATTTACCAATTACCTTATTTGTGCACAAAATAAAATTTAAATTTATTGTTATAACATATATACGCAAAATCCACCCACGCGCGGCTCTCATTTGCTAGATTATTTATATTTGTATTTAATATTTTAGAGCCTTGAATTTTTATACTTATTGTTATTAGTTATATTTTTTTCTTGTTACATTTAGATCTTAGCGACATTAAATTTCTTTGCTTCTGGTTCATATCAACGGCGAGTCGGCCAAGATTTTTTATCTTGTATGTGCCAAGCGTCAATATCTGGAGCAATTCATAGTGTTGTAGAAGCACTTAATCATATCATGAGACATTGGATTAAGTTTCCAACGGAACATCATGATATCGAACTTATTAAAAGACAGTTAGTTTTACATATATATTTTACGTAATTATGATTACAACGAGTAAGTATATTATTTTAATTTACAGTTATTATTATTATTTCAGATTTTGGCTTTATTATAGATTTCCAGGTGTAATAGGTGCTGTTGATGGCACTCACATAGCAATTTGGCCTCCAAACAAAGAACGAGAACATTTATATATCAACCGAAAACTATATCATTCATTAAACGTTTTGATAGTAAGTATATATATAATATATTAACCAAAAACATTTTAAATCTTTTAATAATAAAAATATTAATTATTATAAAAAATAAATAAATATATATATATATAATTTGTTAAAAGTAATGTTTAAATATATTTTGCAGATTAGTGATTTAAATGGAAAAATACTTGCCGTAAATAGTGGCCATGGAGGAAGAACTCATGATGCACGTGTTTGGAATGCGTCCCATATTTCATTGCATTTACAACAACAGTTTCAAAATGGACAAAGAAATACTTGGCTATTAGGTATAACATAATTATTAATTTAAAACGTTGTAAACTCATTGGCAAGCGCGAGAAGAAAGAACCAAAATGGAGGACAGTAAAAACATCTACGTTTATAGTGCCTTTATAGTTGAATATTGAATATCATTGATCTACAAATAAAAAATGTTATATGATTTTGATATTATAGGAGATTCCGGATATCCCCTATTACCTTATTTAATGACGCCAAAATTAAGGCAACCGGAAGGATCACCTTCAGCTCGTTATACTAATGCTCACGTAAGGGCTCGATCATGTGTAGAAAGAGCTATTGAAATGTTAAAAGGACGATGGAGATGTCTTAGGAAAGAAAGAGTATTACATTATTCGCCACAGTTCTCAGGTAGGAATCTTATATAACAAATACATTAAATATTTGAGAACGTTATTAATTAATAAAATTTATTTTAGCTCTTATTGTAAATGCTTGTTGCGTGGTCCAAATATTGCAAATTATCAAGAGACACGGTAGTGTCTCGCGACCAGTTAAGGGCGTAGCGGAGACACCGTGTATCTTAACGCGAGTCGGACATTTGAGTCTTTATAATATTTCGAATCCTCAATAATGGCTGAAGCAATCGAGTTTATACTAGACTTAATCGATAGATTGAGTTCGAATTATATAATAAAAGTGTCTTTATTTCTGCTCTACGTGATTTGTAAGCAGAGATATATAAATGCAAAGTCGAAATATGAAAAATTTCTATTAAGAAACGTCCCCGTCATCATTATCATCATTATCATCATTATCATCATCATTATCATCATCGACCACGCATACATAGTAGTATCGTGCTACACGTATTCACACGTATACAACACATGCGCACACATATATCACACGTACACAACACATGCAAGATGCATGTAGTGGTAATTTTGTCCATCTCGCACGTTTTACAACAGATGGCGATAGTGGCGCTCCGCCATATCGGCAGCGTGCGGGGTTGGGGTTATCTCTCTCTCTCTCTCTCTCTCTCTCTCTCTCTCTCTCTCTCTCTCTCTTTCTCACACACACACGCACACACACACACACTCTCTCATTCTCACTCACTCACTCACTGTTCGTCTTGTGTACTTATTTAGTACATTCATGATCGGCAGCGTGCGGGGTTATGTTGGCTAACTCTCTCTCTCTCTCTCTCTCTCTCTCTCTCTCTCTCTCTCTTTCTCACACACACACGCACACACACACACACTCTCTCATTCTCACTCACTCACTCACTGTTCGTCTTGTGTACTTATTTAGTACATTCATGATTAAACATCTATATGCATTAATGTGAAATTTACTTACAATTAGTTTACTTGAAATATTCAATCTCTAAAGTGTTTATCTTATAAGATAGACAAAAAAATCTGAGTAAATAATAAGAAAAAAAAACAAGGATTATTATTGTCATAATTTTTTATCAATTAAGTACTCTCAACTATCCAATAATTAAATAAATACGTACAAATGTGCGCGCGTGTACACACATACACATATTGATATTAAAGAGATTGAAGGAGAGGAAGGAGAAGAATATTATATATCAAATATTATATATGAATTTATAGTTTACATATCTAATTAATAATGAATTTCTAATTATATTAAACATATCAAAATAAAGACATACATGTATTTATCAAATGAATAAAATTATTGAATACAGACTTAAAAAATTTATTAAACATAGACTTAAAAAATTAATTAATTAAACATATTCCAAATTTAGAAAAAATAAACTTTATTTATATATGCAACAGCTTTTTAAACTAAATTTTTAAATTCTATTTTATATTAGACAATTATCTCAATCAACATCTACGTCCACATTAGCTGCACTGCAGACTACCTCTACAGCCACATTATCTGCTCCGCGGATATAGCGTTATGCCAATACGATACATTACATGTACTTACTTACTTGCCTTTACTGTACCAACTCTTGTTCTTTCCACGTAATCATGTTTTTACAGTTATCGTTTGCTGTATATCTTCCAGCAAACTTTATTTCGTGTGAAGTGTATTTAATTAATTAAATCTCTGCGAAAGATTGAGAAGATGAAGGGATAATTCAAACTATGAAGACATGGTTACATGGAAAAGACAAGAGTTGATACAATAATAAAGACATACATGTATTTGTATCCTGCTGGCATAAGGTTATAGAAGTTGATTGAGATTGAAAAATAATAATGAAAATAATAAAAAAAATAAAGACACATGTATTTGTATCGTGCTGGCATAAAGTTATAAAAGTTGATTGAGATTGAAAAATAATAATAAAAATAATTAAAAAAAGGAAATATTCAATCATCATTTAAAAGCATATTTGAAATCTGTAGAATAAACAGTTTTTGCAAAAAATGTGGAGCATTTGAGCTCTAGTAAGTCTAAAAATAAATGTAAACATCAATTAATAATAACTGATGTTATATATATATTATATATATAAACCAATTTGTTGCAATATTCACTATAAAAGGTTGTAAGGGTAAGATGGCTAAAAGTGAATAATTTAAAAGATAGTTAACATAATTTTACATAAACTGAAATATTTCATAAAATAAAATATTTGTAATATTTCGAAGTTTATGTAAGATTATGTAAAAATTATACCTTTACAACTTTTTATAGTAAATATTGCGAGGAATCGATTTATATGAGAAAAATTAAGGTAATTCTATTTTGAAAATATAAGTGACCTTTAAATAACCTTGAAAATCGCCGTTTAGGAAAAAGTCTGTGTCAACTTTTTCTTTTTCGAAATCCTGCAACTTTTATCTAAATTTAATAGAAAATGTATAAAAAATGCTCGACATTAGTACACACACACACACACACACACACACATATGGGTAAATTTATATAAATAGGGTGCTTTAGGAGGAATGATCAGGATTCTAGGATATGATTGTACACATCATTTTAAGCAAAGAAGTTTAGATAAACATGTTTAATAATTGTTCTATTCCGGTCATAAAAATATACAAAAATGAATGATATAATCTCTAAAAACTCACCTTTAAAAAAAGGTAAAAAAAGGCGACCAGTTAAGGGCACGCCATTAACAAAAATTATCCATTGCAAACCCATGTAGAATCCTATCCTATTGCAAACCCATGTAGAATCCTATGAAAAATTAATCATTGCAAACCCATGTAGAATCCTAGGCAAAATTAACCATTGCAAACCCATGTAGAATCGTACCCATTGCAAACCTATGTAGAATCCTATGAAAAATTAACCATTGCAAACTCATGTAGAATCCTATGAAAAATTAACCATTGCAAACCCATGTAGAATTGTATTAAAAATTATCCATTGCAAACTTATGTAGAATCCTACATTGCAAACCCATGTACAATAGAATTGTATGAAAAATTATCGATTATAAACCCATGTACAATCGTAACAAAAGTAATGAAATAAAAAAAAAATTGCGCCAAGTGAAAGTAGAAACTTGTACCAGTGGAAAATTAAAGTTGCAGACATATATAGAGTCGTATAATGAATCAGTAAAAATTTAAATTTGCAAATGTAGAATCGTACCATAAAAAAACTTATCTTTAAAAAAAAAGATAAACAAGATGCCAAGTCCATGCGCCATGTGAAAAAGAAATAAAAAAATTTTAGTTAAAAAAACTGGGAGCGCTGCTAAATAATATTCTAACAATATTAAAATTAAATTGTTACTTTTAAACTCATTACAGTTAAAATATGTTTTGTGTTTAAATTAATTAATGTTACTTTAAGGTGCATTGTAATTTTGAAACTTAGCAGCGCGCCCAGTTTTTTTAACTAAAATTTTTTTATTTCTTTTTCACATGGCGCATGGACTTGGCATCTTGTTTATCTTTTTTTTAAAAGATAAGTTTTTTTATGGTACGATTCTACATTTGCAAATTTAAATTTTTACTGATTCATTATACGACTCTATATATGTCTGCAACTTTAATTTTCCACTGGTACAAGTTTCTACTTTCACTTGGCGCAATTTTTTTTTTATTTCATTACTTTTGTTACGATTGTACATGGGTTTATAATCGATAATTTTTCATACAATTCTATTGTACATGGGTTTGCAATGTAGGATTCTACATAAGTTTGCAATGGATAATTTTTAATACAATTCTACATGGGTTTGCAATGGTTAATTTTTCATAGGATTCTACATGAGTTTGCAATGGTTAATTTTTCATAGGATTCTACATAGGTTTGCAATGGGTACGATTCTACATGGGTTTGCAATGGTTAATTTTGCCTAGGATTCTACATGGGTTTGCAATGATTAATTTTTCATAGGATTCTACATGGGTTTGCAATAGGATAGGATTCTACATGGGTTTGCAATGGATAATTTTTGTTAATGGCGTGCCCTTAACTGGTCGCCTTTTTTTACCTTTTTTTAAAGGTGAGTTTTTAGAGATTTTATAATATACCGCAACCAGAAATGTATTATGACGAGATAGACGAACAGGAAAGAAATATGCCAATATACGACGTAGCACAAAATGTAAATGGGAATGAAATTCGAGAACAAATTATACGGCGATATTTTACTTAAACTCAATAATTTACTATAACTGTAATTAAATTACATGTATATATATGTTATTAATAAATTTTTGGAAAAGTAATTAAAATGTATAATATTTTTATATAATATATATTTTATTGATAACATTTTTTTAAATTAAAATAAACAGAAGTATTTTTTTAATTATTTTTTTTGAAAGCATATTTAATAATATTTTTCTGTTAAATTACATTTATTGAAGAATGAATATAAAATATTAATAAATAAATATTAACTAATTAACACCAAAGAGGATGCATGCAGAAAACAAGATATAACTTATTTGAAAGTATTATTTTTATCGCATTGGGCAAAAAGGAAGAATTAAATATTCAACGATAACTCTGGAAGTGCAACGACATTGCAACAACATTACATGTTCTGTAACAAAAAAATTATTTAAATTTATTCTACTCTAAAAATAACAATGTACATAATATTTATTTATTATTTATTATAATCAAAATAATAATAAAAATGGGAGATATGCTCTGCTATTATAAAATTAAAACATTTAAATAGAAAATGTTAAAAATTGCTTACCTTCTATTCTAGAGAATATAATTTTATTGCAAAGATCCAAACGTATCCATTGTAATTCTTATTTTTGTATTTCAATTAATGTAGATCGTTGTACTTCCAAAAATTGTCGTTGAATATTTAATTGTTCTTTTTTCAACGCTATTTTTTTTTCTTGAATATCAATCATTTTGATAGACATCGATTTCGTATTTGAATCTAAAAATTAAATATCAAATACTTTAAGAATTAAATGTTATTAAAAGTTAAATAAGTTATTAATTATATAATATTGAAATGTCACACAAATCATACCATTCAAATTATTTAAAGCCGTACTCCCTTTACATAATTTTTTTTTCAATGGAAGATTATTTTCAGTTTCATCAAAATGTATTTCTGTTTTTTGCATTGTGTTTTCATCAGAAAATATTTCTTGAGAATTATTTGAATGATCTTGCAAAAAACTGACTCCTCCTTGTGGAATATTTTCTAAACCCGCTGCTTCTGGAGTTAAAAAATCTAATAACTCTTCTTCTAGCGGTGAAAAATTTATTTTTACTGGAGATCCTCCACCTGTTCCTTGACAATAGTTTCTTCTTTTTGATTCTTTTTTTAAAACATTCATTTTCCAATCCTTCCATGTCTACAAAATATATGTAGATATGTTTGTTATTTTATAAGATATACATATTTTATAGAAACCTTATATAATAATCACCCGGGTGCATCCTGGCCTATAGTATACGTAACATATACTATAGGCTAGTGTGCACCCGGGTGATATTTCCGAACGCAGCCTAACTGCAAGTTGATTGGTTACATGTTTCTCGGACTAAGAACTCGAACCGATTTCTAATATCTTAAGCCTAGTCTACAATAGAGTCGTAAAGTCGTAAGTCGTAAGAAATTGACCAATCACAGATAAAATTAGAGAAGAATAATCAACTGTATTGGTCGATTTCTTACGACTTACGACTTTACGACTCTATTGTAGACGAGCCTTTAATGAACACAAGACTAATTACCTTTAACCATTCGGAACTGGATTTAATGGGACCTTCATTGGCTGTATTTATTACATTAGCCATATCTTCCAATAGCTTTTTCTGAAATTATATATGTATTTATAATACATTTATATGTTTAGGAAAGAGAGAATGTATGGCTAAAGTATATAATATTTACCATTTCTGTTTTACTTTCACCTTTCCGTCGCAATCTTCCTTTTGCTACCTCGGGATGTAATTTCATCCACTCAAGCAATAATTTCTTTTGATTATTTGTTGTATTCATTCTAAAAAATTGATATTATATATATTATTAGTAAATTAAATTAAATTAACACTAACAAATTAATATAATTAAATTATACTCATTTATTAAAATTATTAAAAATATACAAATTGTTTTATATTATATGTATTATAAATAATAAAAGTTATGTTATATAATATAAAATAAATTTGTACACGCGCGCGCACACACACGCGCGCACACACACACACACACGCACGCACACATATTAACACACACACATACAAATAATTATATATATAAATATAGCAATTAATCTCTTACTTGATTTATTACACGTATCAAATAATATTTTTTCCTATACTTTTTACTTTCTTGACCTGCTTCTTTTCCGTTTCTTTTCTTTTTTCCTCGCTTCTTATTTAATCGATTGCGTTGCTAAGTAAAAGGTAAACGTCTATCCATATGTCTCTGCTTTATATATTAAAGTCTCATTTTAAAATAAATGTAATAAAATGAGAGAGGAAGAAACAAATATATAACTAAATAAATATACTCGCATTGTTTTACTACACAATGCGCATGCCTAACACATTACTTATTTTTCACATTTTAGCCAAGTCATTTGACAGCTAAAAAGTTACGTGAAAAAGTTCACATTTATTCGTAAAAAGAACATACTTAAACGAATCTAATAAGAACATATTGGAAAATAAAAGTTCACGTGAAAATTTTGACATGTCAACAATTCGTACTAAGAAGATAAAGATTTATGATAAACAAACTAACAAGACTCATACGTATTATTTTATTGCGGCTTATGATGGTAAAAAATTATTATATATACATTGCACAAAATATGCATATATTTTTCCTTCTCATAATTTTTCACGTGAACTGTTTCATGTGAAATTATTATAGTGAAAAGTGAATAGTGAAAAAGTTCATGTGAAAGATTCATGATCGATCCCCAGAAGGTCAAAATTATGTCAATTTAACATCATATTGACTAAATATTGACCAAAAAATGACATAAATTTAGTCAATATAACATCAAATTGACATTATTTTGATTTTTCTGTTCTCCTTGGGTTCATACATTGATGGTAATCGCAAAGTCGCAAGCAAATCGATCAATTATTACATTAAAGAATTTTTTTAAATACTTGACTGTGATTGTGCATAAAATGTAAGCTCCTTATATTTAAAATAATGTATAATTATTTTTAAAAAGTAACTGAAAAGTAACGACTCGTTACTTTTTGAGTAACTGTAACGAATTATTTTTTAAAATCAGTAACTTGTAACTGTAACTAATTATATAGTTACTTTTATAAAGTAACTTTCTCAATCCTGGATATCACTTATATATATATCAGCTACAAATACGATACATATTTCACAGATAATGATACATATCAGATAGTAGTATAATTATGTATCTTTTACATGCTACTTTTACATATATGAAATGTATTAAGTAGAAGCACATTTATGTATCATATACATAAATTAGTTACATATCAATGATACTTTTCAGATACTTTCTGGTTATATAACACGAAGTATCAGTTACATGTATCTGTATTTCTTATTCTTCGCGATTCCCGAAAATCGACATGTTGCTTAGTACTAGCAAAAATCATACCACAAAAATTTTCTAAAGATGTACAAATATTGTGGGCGGTCTGGAATTGAGGTCTACTTTTACCGGCCGAACCGATTATATTTTGCCACAACCAAAAAGTTTTTATTGCGTTAATAGAATAACAAATGCTTTTCCACGATTAAAGTTAATACAATAATAAAGTAGGAAGCTGTCTGAATTTGTGATAAAAATACAAAAAATTTTTAAATACGAGTTTTTTTCCTGGCTTCTCACGTCACGTCATAACAATATTTGCTTGTATAAAAGTTTCACAATTTATACGTACAAAATAAGACAGGTTCCTACAAAAGATTGCATAAAAGAATATTAGTGAGCTTGCAGAAATAAGTTTAGAAGTCTAATAAAAAAGATCTTGGTTGTGGAATATTTCATTCACATGTTTATGTGCGAAATGACATTTGGGAATAATACAGAGCAAAAAATTAGTTGCGCGATGTCGCGATAGATAAAGCTGCAATCGTGCAGTTAGACAAGAACAGTCATATTATCTTCGTCTCTCTCATACATAGAATAATATCACGCAAAACGTCTGCCTCTTTGTCAACATAGAGTTTCCTTCAAAAAAGGCTGGATGAAAAGGTTAGTATATTTCTTTATATGAATATATGTATGTATGTATGTATGTATGTATGCGTATGTATGCGTAGAAAATATATATATACATACCTATCGATTTATTTAGCTATCTGCCTGTCTATCTATCAAACTATCTATCGATCTACCTATCGATCAACCTATCTATCTATCTATCTATCGATCTATCTGTCTCTCTGTGGTCCTGTTTCTGTCTCTCTCTCTTCTCTGTTTTCTACATTGCATTCTTTCATACATGCACACGTATATATAATTTTTAAAAATAATCTGCATTACATAAATAAAAATAATTAAATTTATAATCTAAAAATATATAAAAATCTTTTATGAATATAATTGATTATAAAATTTTAGTGGATAATTTTTTGTAATAAATAAATGATTTATATGATTTATTCTTATCTAACTACTGCTCTGTTTTGATAATAATAGTATTATTATATTCAATCTCTAAAATACTCTTATATAAATCATTTATTTATTACAAAGGATTATTTACTTTATAATTAATTATAATTATTATAGATAGGCCTGTTATACACATACACACACACGCACACATACACTCACATATAACTTGTTAGCTAAAATGTGGACAAAAAAAATTTGTCACACTCACATATATATATATATATATATATGTATGTATGTATGTAGATTAAGATGTAAAAATTTTTTTTGTCCACATTCTAGCTAATAAGTTATATGTGTGTGTGTGTATGTGTAGAAACAGGCCTATCTTTTATAATTGATTATAAAGTAAATAATTCTTTGTAATAAATAAATGATTTATATAAAATTTTATTTTTAGAGATTGAAGAGTATTTTTGAGATTGAATAGATAGTAACACTATTATTATCAAAACAGAGCAGTAGTTAGATGAGAATAAATCATATAAATAATTTATTTATTACAAAAAATTATCCACTAAAACTTTATAATCAATTATATTCATAAAAAATTTTTATATATTTTTAGATTATAAATTTAATTATTTTTATTTTGGCAATGTAGATTGTTTTTAAAAAATTATTATATACGTGTGCATGTATGAAAGAATGCAATGTAGAAGAGAGAAAATAGACAGAGAGATCGATAGATAGATAGATAGATAGGTAAATCGATAGATATTTCGATAGATGGACGACAGATTGCTAAATAAATCGATATATATATGTGTGTATATATACATATACAGGGTGCCCCAAAAAGATCGGAACACTGAAAAATCTCGAACGATTTGCATGTGCGTTCTGGTTATTAAAAAAAGATATATTATACCAGAAACGATATATTCGTCTGCTAGTTGATTTTAAAAATATCTTCTCCCAGAACGATTTGCATGTGCGTTCTGGTTATTAAAGTTAGTATCCAATCGTTAGTACCTACGATGCAATGCCTGCGGAGTCAAATTCAAATACAGGTACGTGTAGTAAAAATGTCGAACTTTGCGAAAATAACAATCATTTTGTTATCTGGAGAATAGCCCTCTGGATATAAATCGTATCCAGGAAAGCATGCGCTCAAGGGCGTCGCATTGTCGATTCTTCTCATATGTGGAATAAACTTCAGAGATCATTCAATAATCATATACAAGAAATAGGGTGCCAATTTAAAGATTGGAAACTCATAAAAACTAAAACCGAAGGCTAAGAGGAAAATGGCTCTAGCAATAGCACATATAAGAATATTAGCAATGAATCTATCGATTTTCAAAAATTGGTGGAATTATTCTCAGATATGATGGATTCTAAAGTTAGTATTCAAAAAGTGTCGCCTTTTCCTAAATAATAAAAATTTATCAAATCAATAATTTGTTATATTTCAATACATATCGTTGCAAAAAGACGCTTCAATGCAAATGTCTCGTTTGCTATAATCGGATAGACGAAAAAAAACATTTTGTGGCTGTGTTCTCACGGGAATGGGCGACGGAGGGGCCCATTTTATCCTCGATATTTAAAAAAATATTATATAATATTTTTTCATTATCGAGTTACATATAATTATCAATATAATTACTTATCATTCACATGTGTGTGTATGAATATATTTACTGAGCATTCATATGTGTGTATAAATATATTTACTGAGTGTTCTAAATAAAACGTTACAATTTTTTATTTCTAAAAGTATAATTTTTAGAAAATAATGTTGCAAATAAAAGTTCCAGTATTTCAACGGAGATATACATATTTTGATGTTACAGAAATGTTTGTAGAAGGCAATTTTCAGTATCATTAGTCAACTTGATTATTTTATATTGATTAGTCTAAGTATTTATGTAAATTGATTCCTTGTAACATATTCTGCATACATAGTAAAAGTCAATAATTGAACGGTTTACGAGATATTTTACATAATCTAACATATTTTGATATAAAAAATAAAAAATATTTAGTGTTCGATAATACTTTTATGTATAGAATAATTATAGACAAATAAAAAAAGATACACAGTAAAAAAAAATATACAATTTGCTACATGCAGCTATATATATTTTTTCGTAAAAACAACATGTTTGTTGTTTATACCAATTGTTTCGGCTAATTATTCTATACATAAAAGCAAGATCATTGAAAACTAAATATTTTACGAGATATTTTGTATTTTATATCAAAAATATGTCAGATTATGTGAAATATCTCGGAAACTATTCAATTCTTGGCTACATTTCCTTATATTTTTATGCAGAATATTAGAAAAAATCTATTTACATAAACGCTTGGAATAATTCTATATATAATAATTAAATTGACTAAATAAATAAGCTTG